GATTCCCAATGAACATTAACTGGAACAGCCTCAAGACATAGCCCCAAAAATATATATGGGGATATATATATATATATACACAGGCTCGGCCAGCAGAAAGAAGATTTTGGACGCTTTCAGATGCTGCTGTAAAGCAGGCTATGGTTATGGGGCACAGATAAGTATGTATTTGTGATGGGGTTGCTTTCTGCAGGTCAGGGGGTCTAGTCAGGGAGGATAAGTGTACTTTCTCTGAAGTACAGGTAACCTTTAAGTGTCAGGGTTAGGTGCAAGTGTTAGGGTTAGGTTCAGGGTTACAATTACGCATTAGGCTTTGGATTAAGTGTTAGGGGTTAGAGTAAACATTAGGTTTCAAGTGAGAGTTAAGCTGGTCATGTACCCTGCTATCTGAATGTGCCACCTCTATTCAGTCTCCTTTAAATCTAAAAAAACTATATAGCAACGATCCCACCTAAGCAATCCACTAAAGTTCTATCTAGTCAAGTAGGCAATTATACCACATAACTGTTGCCTTATCTAAAGAAGATTGTTTAATTAGATTGCAAAGTGGATCGCCAACATAAAGAATGACTACATCCTAGAACAAAGATTTCATATATTGCAGCATATCAGTCCTTAGATGTGGTGGCTGCATTAGTTTTCTTTTTCTTTTTTTGTTTGTTGGGGTACTCTACAGGAGCCATGTGTTCGTGTGAGAGCAGCGGGCTGGATCTCCAGTGTGCTGCCAGCTTAACCTCTTGCCGTCCGCCCGTAGTAAAAAAACGGACGGACGGCACTGCAGCATCTGCGGGTTGCCGTCTCCAGACGGCAATTTTTTTCTGCTCGCGCGCGCCCCCTAGCGGGCACGCACGGGCAGAAAAGACCCGCTAAATGCACACACCCGTTACCGGGTGTTTCAGCAAATAACTAATTTACAAAAATCACGCACATACATATTATTTACTTGTTATGCAGCCAGACTGCCTAATAATTATATAATACATGGCTTTAATTGGGATTAATGTCAAATAAATACAAATGAAACCTTTTCTCAGTGTGCATTTTTCTTTATCCATGACTACTTTTACAATTATATTGCCTTTCCTTTATCACAGAAATTAGCTGAGAGATCTTACAGACAACACTACAATCTCTTTTCCTATACCACAATATATCTTTTATAAATGGTCTTTTTCCGTCTTTCATTTTTAAGATGAACTTTACAGAAAAGCAAACCAATCTGTGTTTCTTTTATATCTATTTTTGGTCTATTCATTTGGAAGCCAATTATGTTGGCGAGCAAAATGATTTTTGTTCCTTTTATATCAGCTGCCGACACCAGTGAACTGCTTTCCTCTGCACATATCTCAAGGACAATATGAGAAAAAAATGGAAGTACGTGTTTTTTTTTTTTTTTTAGAAAGGTTGGAAGCTGAGTTTAAGAACCCTTTAAAGCAAGACAGAATAGAAGGATAAACTATACTTAAACAAAATGGATTTGGTATGTTAGAGGCTGCTGTGTATTCTTACCTATTTATTTATCATCACAGCAGTGTTGTTTACCAAACACCACTTCAAGTTTGCTTGTTATAGGATGCTGTTGATGTGGAATTCACATTGTCCGCGGCAATAAGGTATTGAGGGCAAAGGACAGATTTTACAAATAAAGAACTGTTGCCTCAAAAAAACATGGTCTCAAAGTACATCTAAAGTCAGTGGAGTATTCAGGGTATGGAACATGCCCTGGGCACACCACTTGAAAGAGGGTGCTGCACCACTCAGCAGTAGGTATATTCTGCTGTGTTTGTGGAACATCTAAACAAAAAAGGCTTAGCAACCAGTATTACAACCAGGCCCTATTGTGCTGTCAGCCGTGAGATTCCTCAGCCGACAGCTACATGCAGGCCCGGATTTCCCACAAGGCCACCGAGGCCCGGCCAAGGGGCAGCTACATGTAAACAAAAGGCTGGAGTTTTGTGACATCATTGACCTAATAAGACCCCATGGCCATATTCAGTCAATGACATCGCCAGCAAACCGGACCCTTTGTTTATATTCAGTTGCCAGACCAGGAGCTGCCATTTGTGTCAAGAGGTCCATCAGGTTAGGATCGTTGTGTGCAGTCAGTGTGTTTTTTGTTTTGGCAGCATTTTTCATCATGTTAGATCTACGTCGCTGGACAATGTAATTGATGATGGATGTGCAGCATGGAACTTTTTTTAACAAAAGCTTGTCAAAAGTGTCAGTATCTTTATTTACATTGTCATGTATTTTATGAATGAGCAGGGGTACAATGTATCCCTGGGTGGGAAAGCCGGATATATTAAAGGGGGCTTCCCAATTCCGATAAGATCCCTGCCCAACATCATTCTGGTGACCGGATGTGGGGAAAGGACCTTGTGCAATGCAGGAAAATGCAACTCAAAAGACATGGTGTAAAGAGGCAATGAGCCCTCAACCTTTTCTGCTCCATTCAAATCTGTCACATGGCAGCACTCCCAACAAATTCAAGTTTGGAAATGTATCAGTTGAATGAGCATTTAGATATTTTGTAATATTAATGTCTTAAGGGGAATTTTTCTTTTCAAACATTTAATTAAGTGTTTTATATACTAAACATTTGAATACAGTAGATATTAATATTTCTACTATCACAAAGGTTCATGTACAAAATAGAATAAAAATAGCATACCTCCTAGATTAGTAGTTAGAAAGGTTCACACAGTAAGCTTATAACAGTGATATTAAAAAAAACAGAACCTTCATTAAGAAGATATTGAGATAGAACCGGTGAGATGAGCAGTGTGTTATTTTATTTAAAGGAAAACACCACTTAAAAAAAAAAAAAGAAGATAGCACATATAATTGCTACACAAGCCATTTTAAAATTATTTTACGTTTTTAAAAATTAGGTTTCCATTTAAAATAGCAGCTACTGTAATTTTCTAAAACTGTCAAAAAAATTTAATGCAACACGGCGACCTTGAGGTGTCATGTACATAGTTGATGTACAGAATGCCCACAGAAATTGAATTTTCTGCTTCTGTGATTGGCTGACTGATTTTGACCATGTCTGCACTAAGATACAAGTAACATTTTAGGCATTCCTTGCAATGGAATTTATTATTTGGTGACACACTCCCTAAGGCTTAATTACTACTAAAGGATGCAACTTTCCTTATTAGAACCAGGGCCACCATTAGGAATCATGGGGCCCCGTACAGTCTACCTGGCAGGGCTCCCCACTCCCCATTTACATATACATGCATGCCCTACACACAAGTGTTTATGGCGGGGGCGGAAGGGTTGCTGTTCATTTTTTAAAATTTAATATTTATTTACTTTTTTTGCCTTTTAAAAAACATTTTCACTTAACTTGTGCTATCATAAAGTGGCTAACAAGCCCTATGTGACAGCATTTGAGATGACAGTTTCTTTATGAAGACATTAGGGGTTTAAAAGACCCTCGATGTCTCCATAAACTACCTCCTGCCTTCCAATACACAGGATTATGCTTGGTCGCCTGTTTCCCTGGCACTTTCAAGCTTGTGACAGCTCTGAAGCCGGAAGTGATGAGAACACAGTGCTTCTTGCTTAATTCATCAAAGAGAAGATCGCGCAATAGACTTCCTTGATCTGCTCCCGCTCTCCATCCTGACACCATTTACCGTGGTCCTGGGCCCCCCAGAGGCGCATGGGACCCCAAAAATCACGATTGGGAAGTGCGAAGGGGGGCGGCAAAATTGCAGGCTACTTGTACTTGACAAGTTGCGCAGGCTTGGGGGCAACTGTTTGGGCAACCCCTGATGTGCCCCCCTGCTTTTATTATAGGGGGCTAGACCCAGTGCAAGAGGGCTGGCTCTACTCCCTATTGGCAGCCCTGATTACAACATATAAAGTCCAGCAACTGATTATAATGAGTCAGGAATCAGTTTTGAGAGGACATGGTGAAACAAACTGCTATTTCTTCAAAACAGAAACATGTAGGAATCTGCATCAAAGTTTGGTAAAATGTTCCAATGTACACTAATCGCCAAGAGGGGATTGATTTTTTTTCTCAGCAAAAGTGAAGTTACTCTTCCAAGGGTCCATATTTTTTTTTAACAAAGTCTGATTTTCCAACATTATACTGCAACAGTGGTCCACATTCTTGATAAGGGAGGCTCATGTGTGCCCCCCCCAACATCACCAGATGGCTGCATAAAATATTCAGTTACTGATTCAGGACATAATCATAGACAGGAGAGATTACATGAGACTGCTAGAAACCACTGTTATTAAAGCCTCTTTACCCTTTATCACTGATTCCATAATTTTTCTCTCTATTATTATTATACAGGATTTATATAGCGCCAACAGTTTGTGCAGCACTTTACAATATAAGGAAGACATTATAATTACAATACAATTCAAGACAAGATGGTAAGGAGGGCCCTGCCCTTTTAAAAAAAAACCTTGTGCCACATTTGAGGTTTCCCTCATCAATATCCATTATAAAAGAAAAGAAAAGGAATGGACAGCAAAGACAAAGTAGGAAAGTGTGAAAGAAATAAACCTAAAACTAGTCAGTCTAATTAATATTTTTCTTCACCTAACTAATGAAACCACAGACTGCTGTCTTTAGGGGTACAGAGGGCAGCACAATAAGTTACAAGGGGTCGCAGGTTGGCCACTAGGGGTATAGTTTGTTTTTAATTTATTCAGGATAGCTAAGACGTGACCAGTTCAAGACTTACCACTGGTGACTTCCATTAATGTGACGATGTCGCTGCCAGCAAAATAATGTGATTGATATTTGAGATATGAGAAATGTTTTTGCTGCAGATAGTAATGTGAGGGGTTTTTTTCAGCTTCAACCATAACAATCAGCACGAGAACCAAGCCCGTGGCTAGCAGACAGAAGTATTTTTCAAGTAATTAGGCGATATTCCTTCTGACCTGCATCAAGCAGTATATAACATGTTCATCCATCCATGGAATATTGATTTGACATGATGGCCTGGCTTTTTAGTACATTAGGAACTTGAACCGTCTTTATTTATTCACAGCAGTTCTCAACAGACACAATTTTTCTTGTAAATCAAAAACAGCAACATTATTATTCAGTTTTGGGATTTTCAAACATATCAGTCGGGGAAACCTCAAGCAGTAACTGAAGATAACAAGTGATTTTATCGAAGTATGGGATTCGCAGTTTGAAATGGATAAAGGGAATGTAGATAATGATGCTGCTGAACATAAACAGTAAGGCGTAAAAATACTGCACTTTTGGAGACTGTATAATTGGAGCCAGGACCAGAAATGCCGACACTCCAACAACAATAAAGGCAAGTGGAAGAAAGACCTGTAAACAACACAAACATATTGATTATTGTACGAATGTACCCTCTATTTGGAGTCATCAAAGGCTTTATATAAGGGTCACTTCCCAACGAGGTACTGTAACTATTTCTGACCCAGTTTTTCGTGCCTGTGTTTTTTTATGTAGGTGTTTGTTTCTAGCCCTATGATGTAGACATAACACAATATGATTTTCATCTGGGATAGCAACACACACAAATAAATACATTTAGATAATAAAATAAATTAGCAGCATTTCCATGGTGCCTTCAAGGAAGCAAAATCAATTGCTAACTTGTTTGTTCCTTGCAAATTACTTTTAAAGGAAAATAAACTAAGAACTAAATATAAGTAATAATGTGAGAAAATCATTCCGGAGATTTTGAAAATATATTAAAAAAATTGATAATATGATATGATTTATGAAGTATGGTTCTGTTTCGCTTTATTTTTTCATTCTTTGTATCTTGGCTAGTAAAGACAAGTGTTTAATGTGGATAATTAGATCTGCTTCAAAGAGGAACTTTGACAAACAAAACAAAATTGAATTGGAAGCCTTCAACATTTCAGCTGTGACTTATTGACAAAAATATCATTGGACATTCAACCCAGGGAAACATTAATCTTTCTGCAGCTCTTCAATAAAAGAATGCTTTAAAGGAAATGTATGGTGTATTTTCTGTGAGCACGTATTATGAGTTATTAGGTTTATTGTACATTAATTTTATAATTATAATTAATGCTCAAATCATGCTTTTTGTTATTGTATTAAATGCAGAGATATGTAGATTAGACATTAGAAACAGATTAGCTGAGATACTAAAATAAATGCCCAAGGCCACATTCTCATGGCGGTTTTCGACCGTACACCGAAATAAATGGGCATAAATCTTAAGCAGGTTCCACAGATGTTTGCGGTCATGAGCCACCACTCAGCCTAACAGTTGGTGTACAGCCCAATGCATCCAAGAATGAGGCCTAACTGCTTAGCAACAGTTGCAATAGGATGTCAGCCACACAGGGAGTATAATAAGTTTGCTAACTCATGGACATGCATTGTGAGAAGAAGCAGTAAAGCACAACCATTGTGTAGCACTGCACTGAGCAAATATGCCTGCCTCCTTGTATATAAATAAAAACAAACAGAAACAAGGTTTTAAAACATTAACCTATTGTAATAAGATTATTTGCATTAATTTGATTACTTTTATGTTCATGAGACTACACTTTCTCTTTAAAGCTGAACTCAAGGAAAAAACTAAATGCAGTTAAACAACAGATTTGAAAACTCCTATACTGGCCAAAAGATATGTAATCCTGTTTGGCCTGCCTTGTGATTCTAGAGTCCCTGGCATGCTTTTAGATATCAGTGGCCCTTTGTGGATCTATTTTAATCTTATGGCAAATGGAGGTGCATGCAAGGGATGCAGAATCACAGCACAGATTGATACAATAACGTATGAAAAATGCACTTGTATGTAACTGAGCCCCTACTTTGGCCATAGCCAAGCCGGTGACTCCACTTTTCTTCACTACTGTTAAGCAATGCAGCTTAGTCACTAGCCCAGCTTCAGTCTGCTGTTTAAATAGTGAGAGATCAACACCTTGATAACAAGATCATCCTACCAGCAAGCTGCCAGCGCTAGATTGGAAACACTGTGCAACAGAGGAGAACTGGATTCAGTAAGGGGGAGATTTACCCACCGGGCTAGTGCTAATAAGATACGCTAGGCTGATGACCCTAATAGGATATACTCCACTAGGTCAGACGTCGTGCAGAGTGAGACCTATAGTCAGTGGCACTTGTTAGGAATTATAGTAACTATGCTGCAGGCTATAGGAATTATATATGCTATATTATATATCTACCTACTACCTCTTCAGACCTGCAACCACAGCCTCTGGCAAAGGGACATTTTCCAGCACCACCTTCATTTGCAGCTCTGAGAAGTATGTGACCAAATGCCAAGCACTGTAGAGAAATTATTTGCATTTGGGCACATGACATCTCAGAGCTGCCGGTGATGCCATAAGTGAAAAGATGTGTCACAATAAACTATGTCCTTATAAATACCAACCAATCAATGAAGCACCATGTCACACTTTGCACATAAATCTGTCCCTGGCATGGATAGGCTACCTGGTTGCGTTTGCCCCCTAGGTCAAAGGTTCCCAGTCCTCCCTTGCTGTGAAAAGCTATAGAGCCTACCGCGTGGGGAACTGCAGAAAGCTAACATAATGATTTATTTAGGGATATGTCTGTGTGTGCCCTTTGTACCAACCGATTAGGCACACAGACCTTGCCTACTTACACATGAGGGCTATCATGCTGGCGATATAAGGTTGCAATTATAATTCACTCCAAGCCTGAATTGTGAGACAACTATTATAGAGCTTATTGTTCAAAGACTAAAGAAATCTTTGTCCAAGTGATACTATCATCATTAACATTATTCATATTTGGGTTTTTGTCTCACCTTGTATGGGCGCTCCAGATTGGGCTCCCTGAACCGAAGAACAATCAGGCTGATACAAGTTAGTCCAACGAGGAGCCAACTACAAAAGCTGAAGTAATTAGTCAATGAGAGAAGGTCAGAAGGTATGACAAATATGCATCCAATCAGCGTGGAGAGGATCATCGCTGGAGCTGGAGTCAAGTGACGAACATTGAGCATGGAGATGAGTGATGGCAAATGTCCTTCTTTGCTGCCAGCATAATTTAACCTCCCCAGCATAAACATGCCGCCATTGAGAGAACCGAATATAGAGAGGGCCACTGAGACAGGTATAATCCAGGACCATGTTGGGATTACTCTATCAGCCCAAGTAACCGAGACAGCAGCTGCAATGACAGAATGGTACAATAATGTTATTTTTAGCCAGCGTGTTCAGAATGTCAGAGTACAACTGTAAAATGGCTGCAGAAATCAAAAGCAAGTTTTTCCATATTTTCTGCCTTGTACAAGTACTCCTAAATATTTTCTGAACAATTGCATATACCCGAATACATGACTAGCACATTTCCTTTAAGGGGGAAGTACAGTGAATTTTCATTGAGTAGCTTATTTTGAGTTATCATTGCAATGTTTAAGGGCCGATTCATGCCACAAACCACAAGCGGTGATGCTCTGAAACACACTGAATCACATCCCAGCCGCCTCCCTGCGTTCATGGGTGGGAGGGGACGTGGTGGTGTGTTGAAGTAATTGGCACCGCTTTCACGCTCCCCGCCCACAGTGAGATCGCCCGCACCTGATCGTGTGGCACATCAGTGCCTGTGATCCGGTCCAGTGCAATCTGCAAAAATAGTACTTGCAGCATTTTTGCAGATCACACTGGACCGGAACACAGGCACTAAAGTGCCATGCGTTCAGGTGCGGGCGATTGCACTGTGAGTGGAGGGCGTGGCTGCAGTGCTATTGACCTCAATGCACCGCTACGCCCCTGAACGCAGGGAGCTGGCCAGAATGCGATTCAGTGCGTTCCAGAGACTGACCGCTCTGAAGCGCACTGTTTGTGTTGTGAACCGGTCCTAAAGCTGAAGTTTAATCCGTTTATATTTGGCCTTGCCCTGGTTCCTCCTTCCCACATCAACACTCTGATATACATTTTAACAAAACCTTTAGATTTTCATTGCATACATTTTTTTTAGACCCCATTGGTTCTCCTTCTTTTTGTAATGCAGACAGATTAAGTCTGGTGGGAAGGGCCAGCAGGCAACTGTATAGCTTCCTGAAAACATCACTTCTTAGTGCTCCTTTCAAGAGCCATCAACCCTGATACAAGGAGTTGGATGACTCTTGGCAGGGGTTACGTGCCTGGGTATTTTTGCTGGCTGAAGAAGTGGTGGGCACTTTGGAGAGATGAGTATCAGTGGCCACGAAGGGGGGAAGGCCTTTTTACAGTCAATGTTACTTTGTCCTGAATGGGCAAAGTGACAGTGTTTCTTTAAAATCATTAAAAAAGGCAACCTACGTATATTTCTCATGACAGGTTTCCTGAAAATGGTGTAATACGGGCTTGTTGTGGCATTCCCTCTGCCTCACTATGTTAGGTTACACAAGCAGTGGGGAAGCCCGCTGCTGTGTAACCTAACATAGCTGTCAAAAGCCGGATGAAGCACCGCTTGTAATTAACAGGCAGAGCTCTGTCCATGGCAGGTTACACACCGGGGAGGCTTTCCCTGCTGTGTAACCTGTTACAAGCCACTCTGGATGGAGAAAAAGCTGTCAGCTTCAGACTTGAAGGTGACAGCTTTTTCTTCCATAATACAAGGTGAGGCTCTGCTTTACCTGCCCACTTGACCGCACATCCCTGCTGTAACACCAACTTAGAGTGAACTAACACAGCTGAAGAAAAGCTGCAGAACCAGGTCTGGTCTTTGATTTTGAATTGCATCTCTTCCTCAATACAAATTAGTAAACTAAACCTGAAATTTTAGTCCATAACAGGAGTAAGCTTGGAGTGGAGACTACTTTACAACACACACAGGGACACTGGAGAACAAAAAATAGTTACAGTGTCAGCACCAATTCAGAGATGATTTAATGATCTACAGCTGAGTGATACACAATAATGTACAGTTTTGTTCATTTTAAATTACTTGAATGCATTTTTAAGATTTAAATTCTGAGCTTAGTGTCACTTTAAGACTGGCACAGAGGCTTAAAAAATGGTATAGGAGGCCAAATCCAAACATCTCTTGCATCTGACCATAGAAAATCTGCAGATAATCTATAGGTGTATGGCCTTTATTCTGCTTTCCTCTCCTTTCAGTAACAACTGTCAGTGCTTTGAAAACTCATATGTGGTCAATATCCTGGACATTGCCAATTGATAGCACATCCATCCCTGCCAATTGCCTCAAACAAGAGCTGTTACATGAACCCGAACTGTGCTGCTGCTTGTTACATGCTCTCTATAGTCTAGTATATTCAATTGTATTTGTATTTGAAGCATGAATAAATAATTTGCACTAGGTCGCCTGTGGCTGATTTTGTTTCTCAGTTTTGTTGAATTTCCGCCGGCCTTAAATCAGGCCGCTAGGCTTTTAAAAATTGCTTAGAACCCCCCAGTGGATGGTGGGTTGATAAGATTGCTTGAAGCTAATATCTGGATTTGTTCCTGCAAGGATCTTTAGGCTGTTTGAGTCCACCAAACAATAATGAGCATTTTTTTGTTTTATCATTTAGAATGATTTGTATTTACATGAATCTGTTAGTAAGGCATATCGGGGTTGATTTACTAAAGAAAAAAAGAGATGTTATTCTGTGTTGAGGATGTTTAATAGGCTTGGGGGCCTGCTGATGCATGCTGGGAGTATTATTAAATATCTAAAGCACTTCCTGGCACATGGTTTTTCCTCTGGGGTTTTACCGTGAGAGGATGCAACAGTAACATTTTGTCTTATACTAGGCCTTAGAGCCAAGGAACCTACAAGGATCCCCCCTCCTGGGAGGGAACCTTGAAGATATTGGTTACCGACACAGAGAGTTCTCCCCAACATGGGAATGGTGATTTGAGTGAGTTTGAAAGCACCAGAGGAACTTTTTCAATGCTGTCCTGCCTTGAATTCTAAGAGATACCATTTAAACCTCAGTTGTCAAGGAGCCACTTTAAGATTTCCGAGTGCAGCCAGTGTGAGAGGGACCAAAAAGGTTAGAAAGACTTGCAGAAGACCAAGAATTGTGGTTTAGGTAGAATCTATGGGTATTCTGTGCTCGTTTCTTACGATTTTACATGACTAGTGCAAAAACATCATTTAAAATATAAAGCAAAGTGACATAATTCTGACCATTCAGAGGACAAGAACATTTGTGGAATCATGGCAGCTTTAACCATATGGGCAAAATAGTACAGTTGCCCTGTACCCCCTCAGCTACCTTTAACAATTCATTCTGTATTTAAAATCTTGCTGATACATTTGGGCAAAGCCACTTTCCACCCCTTTTTGTCTCTTGGACAATGGGGCTGTCCATCATAGTAATTGGCCAATAGGAATGTGAGGGGCCAGGATGTAGTTAACAATTGTATGGAGGCCTGAAACTAGATGTAGGCATAATGCTCCTACTGTTATCTTTAAAGGGTCATTAAACCCTTGCGTGTTTTTGCATACACCTACTGCTAGCAAGCAGTAGACATATGCAAAAACATTTTTTTTTTAAAGTTACCAAACAGGTTTAAACTTACCTGTGTCTTCGCTGCGCACTCCTATATGAAGATCTGAAAATTCTCTGGCGGCCGCAAAGGATCATGGGGCGGGCGCATGCGCGGTAGAGATATTCGGCCAGGAGAAGAGGAGAGGCAGAGGGTAAGTCAATACAGCAGCGTACATGCGCACAGACTCCGTGGGACAGGAAGAGACAGGACTCAGTGCTGGATCAGAGACCAGCACTAACGCTGGAGGGACTCCTGAAAACTACTAGAAAGAAGAAGATGATCGGATCAAGAGGCATCATTAAAGGTAAGTTCTTAAAGCAGCAGTGGGGGGTGGGAGGGGAATGTTTGACTTTAACGTCACTTTAAGTATATCCATATTGCAACATACATAACAATTAATAAACTGACAGCAAGGTCACCAGTGATACATGAGAATTACATGTAATACATACAGCTATTGAATCTTTTCAAGAACTTAGTGAACAGATGGTTTGAGTTGTTAAAAAAAGAAAAAAAACAGGTCACTGCAATAAAATGTTGAGATCAATTTTTAATTGAACAGGGCTTCAGAATTCCTTTATACCCTTTCATGCAGTTCATTGAAAGCATAATTAGTTGTAACACCACAGGAAGTAAAGCTATTCAAGTACTACTTCATGACACAACGGTCATTAGTGTAGGAAGCATTATTATTAATGTAGTAAGAAGAGGATATGCAGGATAACATCGCAGAGACTAGGCATAACATTACAAAAGGTTGACCTGCATCTAAATTTAAGACTTTGTGAGCTGGGTTATATTTAAGGAGCTTGTGTAGTTTGGCAAGGTCCATCTGTACAAGACGGCAAAAATAATAGTCATGGTCATCATTACCCACGTGTACACAAGGCACAGAGCCTTAGTAGTTGTAAGCAGCAAGCTTGCTGCACGGGGCAACAACCTTTTTTGTTGTTGTTGGGGGCACTGTTACCAGGGTCATTGCAACTGCACCAAAATAATAAATGGCACTGAATTTCCATAATTCAGAGATTCATCTAGGCACTGAAGCAGGAGTTGGCATCCATATTTTTTTGTTAAGCCTGTATTCCTCCATTCACTGTGGTCGAACAAATATCCTGCTGTGTTTGTTGAATTCTAACAGTGGCACTCGCTACTGTCAGAATACCCGAACAGTGCTTGCAGCTAATTTGCTCCAAGCACTGCTTATCCAGCAATTTTTCAGCCAACAGTGAAATGAGCCGCACAGTATGTTACAGCATGTCACAGACAAAGAGAAATTAAAAATTCCCTTCCTGGACTCATGCACTGTTATATTATTCCTTAACTTATTCCTGTACTCACCTCCTATTTTATTTTCCTCTACTTTGATGATAACCTAGGTCGTATGCTGGGTACAAACGGATCGAATTTTGGCCAATTTAGCATGAATCAGCCAAATATCAATCCGGGGTGACAAAAGTCAAATTTAGATTGTTAATTTCAATTGCTCATTTCACAGTTGGCTCCTCTTTTACCTTGTAGGTACATATACCTTATTTCTGTGATACATGACGTGCAGCTGTTTTAGCCACGATCGTGTTCACAAGCATGGGTGGAATCGCAGCGGGAAAACGCGCAATCCGCCCTGCCATTGGAAAATAATGGCACTCTCAGCACGATAGATACACACCTATACGACTTCTGACCGCTCGGCAATCCGCACGAAATCAGGCACAATTGCAGCGCAGTGGGGAGTCGCATAGGTGTGCACCGGCCCATATAGTAGAGTTGTAAAAATAAGTATACCATTACTTACCACCTTAAACTATATGTTTTGTAAGAAGTTTTACTTTAAACTTACAAATATCGAAGAAGCATATGACGCTAAATTCTCTACTTATTTCTGAAAATAATGTACCTGAGGATATAAGCTCTCTGGGTGTCAGGACGGTAAGGTATGAGATGTTCACCAGCAAGTAGAAGACAATGATAGCACACATGGCTGTAATTACACTCCGAGGAATATTCTTGCTTGGGTTTTTTATTTCCTCTGGAAAACAGAAACCAAAATTAATCAATAAAATGTACTGCAACCTTTGTCATAGGAAAATGCTGAACAAGTGATCTATGGTTCAGGTGAAAGAAACCATTTGAACATTCAGGCTTTCTATCATATGTTTCTGCTGCCTTGAATATTTTCAATCTTTAAAAGAAGAACATTGGATAACAACACAACTTTTCAATCCTAAAGTGACACTGAACTCAGAAGTTAAAGCTTAAAAATGCATTCAAGTACCTTAACTATTAGCAAAATGTATCTTATTTGTGTATCACTCAGCTGTAGATCCTCAAATCATCTCTGAATTTGCGCTGACACTGTCCTACTTTCTGGAGGGTGGCTACTTTGGTTCCCCATGGTCCCTGTGTGTGTTATAAAGTAGCCACTGCTCCAAGATTGCTCCCGTGATGGATTACAATCTCAAGTATAGTTTACTAATTTGGTTTGAAATTATAGTCTATCATGGGAGTGAGCTTGGAGCGGTGGCTGTTTTACAACACACAGTGACCATGAGCAACAGAAGTAGCCACCCTACAGAAGGAAGGACAGTGTCAGCACCAAATCGGAGATGATTTGAGGATCTACAGCCGAGTAATACACAAATAAGATACAGTTTTGTTAACAGTTAAGGTAGTTGAATGTATTTTCAAGACACAACTCCTGAGTTTAGTGACACTTTGATATCTTGGGTATTGCAGGAGTGTAACTGCAAATCATGGTGCTCTGCAGCAAAATATTGATGGGCTCCCTTGCTGCTTAACACTCCAACAGTGTACTTAAACTCCCCTATCAGGTGCATCTGGAACTGTTATTTTACCTCTTTCTCTGGTTAAACTACAAATATATAGCTTGAGAGATAGGGTGTACAGCTTCAGGGAGAGTCATCTCAAATATTTGCTATTACATGCCCCATCATCAGTAGACATGCTATATTAGTAAATGGGCAGTGGAGGAGTGGCTTCTTCTCTTCTCTGCCTTCTTATGCCCTGTATAGAGCCTTGTCACTGACCGCAAAATCAGTCAACCAGACAGCAAGACCATACACATACTGTATGCAGCACTAGAGGGATATATATCACTCTATGAGCTAGAGGAAAGAGGAGAGATGGCTGCCTGTTTAAGAAACAATTTCTTGATGATGGCGTAGTTAGAAACATGGCAGACCTTGTAGGTAGTGGTCAGCTAATGCTTTTTCTCTAGTGTTGGGTAGAATGGGGAAGGGTTAGAACCCTGGTAAGGTTTTTATTGTTGTGTCCTATTAAAGAGATCCCTGTCCCCAGGAAATAAGAAGGGGGGAAACAATGGGGACACTATTTCCTGTGACAACTGTAAGAGGTCAAATTTATTCTGACTTTGGGGGAAGGAAATCCACTTATTACCTCTTCTGTTACCAGGACAGGAAGGGGTGGGGGTCAACTCATCAGGAGCACAGACAGCAATTTAATCCTTGCAAGGATTCAAATCCTTCCCCCTTCTATCTAAAACCAGAAATATGTTTTGGCTGGAATTCCACTTTAATCTTCCAAATTGACTAAAATATAAATTTGACATATTTTTACATACAGTCAAGTTGTTTCAATTGGTAAACTTTTTATTTTAAAGTTATTTATAGGATGAATGCTTGTGGTATTGTTCTTTAGCTCCAAGTATCCCAATATACTCTCTTTTCACAAATTCCTGCACATGCAGAGGCGGTGGAGCAAACCCCCAACACTTCCAAATATAGCAAAGTGAATTAATCCAACTTGTTTAAAGAAGAACTATACACTTTGCAGAATAACCTGAAAACAGATACAGTTTCTTTCAGATACCCCATGCATACCATTGTAGTTAATGTAAATGTAACTGAAATCAGCTGTGACTAATTCTGAACAATGTGGTTTTATTGTGGCATAGGCTTTGTTTGTCTGACATCTAAAGTTAAACAGACAGGTACACAATGTACAAAACAACACAAATATCCAAGAACATTTTAGCGGACCTGATTACATCTAATTATAGCTTTACAATACGAAGTGTTGCTACACCGAGCAATTATTGGCATGTATACAATGTTATAGTTGAACATATGTACACTTAGTAAGAAAGCGCTCAGCTGGAAAGCTAATTCCTTTCCACCTAGGGGGTAAACAGTCTGTGTTGTCGATTGTGCAATTAAAGTGCAGCATATTTTACTTTGCCATAAAATGCACTTTAAAGCAATGAGTCTCATTTACAATATCATTAGAGAATTTCCCATCTGTGAATACATGCTGGAAATAGCTTCCCACTTAAATTCATCAAACCACATACCGGAGCATTGTCTTAATAAATTAAAGCTGGCAGAAATAACTGATTGGATAAGTTTAGGAAAGCAGTTTGCGCTATGAGATGAAAAACTTCCAAGTGTTTAAATTTCAGTATAGACCAGAACTTTCATCAGTTATTTATCCAGTGAACCTTACAATCCAATATCCTTATAAACAGCCGAAGGCCCCTTTCACACGGGTGCCCTCCATTCCGATCAGCAGGGGATCCGTGCACAGATCCCCTGCTGATCGGAGCAGTATGGAACGAATGTCACTTTTGTGACATCCATGTCCATCCAGTTTTGGAGGAAAAAAATGAACTAACTAGACCTATGTTAGGTCTATGGGCAGTTAAATGTGAGTGGATATATGTTTGTTTACATCCAATTACCCCCGATTCGCCATGATCAGGTCCACGAATATAGAAGTCTGTTCCATTTTATCTTCCAGATCTAGACACACTCAGGGGTAATCGGATGTAAATGGACGCACATCCATTTACATCCAAATATCCATAGACCATCATTGTGTTTACGATCAGGTCCTACTGAAAAATTATCAGAAAGACCTAATCAGAATGGCATGCGGAAGGAACCTTATAGACACGCCAGGGCCAGGTTAGGCAACAGTCAACATATAGTCTCATACAGACAGAGTTCAGGTTAAATTCTTATAACGAGCTCTGTGTTTAAAGGTATCATTGCTAACCACTGCACCAAGGAGCTGATATTAATGTATATTGATCTATTTTTTATACAGAAGGAATGTCCTGAGAAGTTACTTTTAGTGGTTACGGGTGGCCTGGAAACTCTGTATGATGAGTGTTGGCACGGGAGCAATAGTGGCAAGTTAATTGTGCTTTAAAATGTTAAAAGGCAAAGTATAGTTTATTTCTAGGGAGTACATATTTTGAATTATTATTATTGCAGGATTTACCATCTGTAGACCCATCATTTGTAACTGAACTGTTGGCTAACTTGTGGACTTTCATTGTAAGAAGCACTGCAAAGCAAGACACAGAGGCTGTGTATGTACGTAATGAGCAGATGTAGATGATACCATATACATTGTGTTTAAAATTTATACATAGACAAAACTAATTTTCTTTCAGCCTAGGGTGAAATAGGGCAGGAATAAAGACTTTGTCAATTTATTCTTTAATGCCTGTGTCCTGTTGGGGAGATTTCATTTTACTTCCTGTCCTGCAAAAAAAACAGGAAGTGAGGGAAAATCCACTTTCTGATTTCCAGAAGACACTACATGCTGGAATGCAGTGTTCTAGCCACCAACAGAGATGTGCTCAGATTGCATTGTGAGATGCAATGGGGGAGTGTGGTGCTCTGCTTATAATCAACTTTTTGTAGAATCCAATCTAAACTAGCACAGGTTTGAACTTTGAAAATCGCAATCATGCTCTGCAGACACTGGGTGGCTGCTACTAAAAACCATTTTATCTATAAACAGATACAGTGCCGGGATTGGCACAGATTAGAGAAAGAGGTACAGTAGTGGTCAGGAGAACAGGCCAAAGTAAATAAAAATTAACAAGATGAGCAGCAGTCTGATTGCTGATTTCCAATAGGCCTTGCCAACTGTCAGCCATAATCTGGAAGTAAGCAGTACAATCAAGCATTGCAATGAAATATGGAGAACCACTGCTGTAATGCTGAAGAGATGAGGAGATTGAGCAGGCATTCCAATTTGAGATATGACCGTAGGTACCAAATGGCACTGGTCACACACAATAGATAAAATGACTGATAAAGGTATTTGACAAACATCCCAACTGTCCCTCATTTGGAACCTAATCCCTCTGTCACTCTTTCCTCTTCAGTTGTCCCTCTTCTTGGTCTGATGTACAGATAGCTATGAAAAGGTAATATTTAACTGTCAAAAGTGTTATTATAACCTACAGCCTTTATCTTATCTCTTACTTATCTTGTTTGGTATTTCAAAAAGGCAGTATAAAGGAAAAGTATTAGAATTCTGGGTGTAATCAGTCATTTGTTTCATGTAAATAGGGGAGTGGGCATTAATGTGGCAGATGAGGTTTAATGTCGATAAATGCAAAGTAATGCACTTTGGAATAAAAAATAAACAAATGGGTTATACAATTATGGGTATGCCGCTGGGGAAGTCAGAAATGGAGAAGGATTTGGGGGTCATTGTAGACCACAAACTGAAAGGTAGTTTGCAGTGCCAGGCTGCTGTAAACAAAGCTAGCAGGGTCTTGTCCTGTATTAAAAAGGGGATGTATTGCAGGGACAAGTCTATAATTTTGCCACTTTATAGATCATTGGTTCGACCTCATCTGGAGTACGCGGTCCAGTTCTGGTCACCAGTACTAAGAAAAGATGTCCTTGAGTTGGAAAAAGTCCAGCGAAGGGCAACCAAACTAATTAGGGGTATGGAGGACCAGAGCTACGAGACGAGGCTACTAAATTCAAACATGTTCACATTAGAGGTGAGGAGATTAAGGGGGGATATGATTTCCATGTACAAAATGTTTAATGGTGGTAGCAACATTAGCGATAAACTGTTTAAAATTAACTCCGTTACAAAAACTAGAGGCCATCACCTAAAATTGGTGGAAAAAAAATTCCAGCACAAGGTGCGAAGGGGGTTCTTCACAGTAAGATCAGTTAGGGTCTGGAACTCACTGCCACAGGCGGTGATTTCAGCAAATAATGTGGAATTGTTCAAGAAACTTTTGGATGATTTCTTAAGGGACCGTAATATACAGGGGTACGGGTACTCCTAGAATGAGATCCTAATAGGTTGGACTTGATGGACTAATGTCTTTATTCAACCTCAAATACTATGTAACTATGTAACTATGTAAATTCTTCATGGTCCGCATACCTTGGGGATGTGGCAGAGGTGGGTCAATTACCTAAATACATTGTACTGGAAGGTGTCCCTCTTTCTCATCTCAGAAAGTTGGGAGATATGCCAGAATTATTGAACAAGATATGAAGCAGGAACAGCATGGACATGTGGTTTTATCTGTTCAGTAGTCTGCAATCTCTAATTGTGTCACTGTGTTTTATTAATAATCATTTTTTACCTACCTGACCTATGACTCAGCAAACAGGTCAGACGTAAATGTTCTCTAGTAGGACTGCTGTTTACAGCTTGGATACATATTTCTAAAGCACTGTGCTTCTAAATAGAACTTAAAATAGCTTACTCAATGTCCATAGTTCAGATAAGACTGACTGCTTAGTGCACTCCCGGGGTGGTGTTGTTAATGGTGGGTCAGTGTGCTGCTCCTATTTTGGTTGGACCAGGGTGTCCAACTGTAATACTGAACAGAAAAAAGGAGAGAGCAGGAGTGCAACTGCCTGGTGCCAGGTATTGGATGGAGAATGATGGGTGAATGAGGGTGTGTGTAAGTGAAGTGGAGCAGGGGGTGTTGAGCACTTACTTAGCCACAAACAGAGCACTTACTCAACACCCCCTCCACCACTTCACTTACACACACCCTCATTTACCCATCATTCTCCATCCACATACCTGGCACCAGGCAGTTGCGCTCCTGCTCTCTCCTTTTTTCTGTTAAGTATTACAGTTGGACACCTCGGTCCAACCATAATTGGAGCAGCACACTGGACCCCCATTGACCACACCACCCCGGGAGTATATGTATCCAAGCTGTAAACAGCAGTCCTACTAGAGAACATTTATGTCTGACCTGTTTGCTGAGTCGTAGGTCAGGTAGGTAAAAAAGATTATTAATAAAACACAGTGACACAATCAGAGATTGTAGACTATTGAACAGATAAAACCACATTAACTTGAGCAGTTGATTTTCATTAAATTAAAGGCAAGAGCCCATAGCAAAGATTGATCATTTTAACTGGGATGTCTGCTTTTATATTTCCTAGATATTAATGGATACCATGAACCCTTACTTGATTTCCTGCATGATAGTTCCCTTATGATTAATGGAAAACACTGATAAAGAATACACACAATTGTGTTTTTCCATGTAGCTTGGAACAGAACCAACAGCTTCAGGAGATCAGCAGCACCAAGATGCACAAAAGGATAAAAAAAAGTTAAAACAGTATTTTATAAAAGCAAAAATGGCAATTGTTTATGAATCACAGTGCTCTATTTAAGTTAGATGACATCTAGTTGGGGTTTAGATCTACTTTAACAAGCATGTCATATTTGATATATAATACACAGACATGGTCTGGGGAAAACATTTTCCTACATATACACTATAAAAGTAAATGCTTAATAATATTGGAAGGCATTACATAGCTTTTCTGGTATGCATCCTTTCACCTAAAACAGCTGATCATATTGAATATTACACTGCCTGCACAGGACAAGTTTTAAATAGATCAAGTTATTTCAGATTCAATTTGCTGATGTTCAGCTTGTATATAGGAGGAATAAAAATTATTTATTTGCTATGGAGCTAGAAATATCAGTTAAAGAATGACCAAAACTACCTGTGTTATGCAGTAGTACACGGACAGAACGCACCATCCAGAGAATTCCAATACTTCAGACTTCATTGAAATTCAAAGCAAATCCAGTATAACAGTGAATAAAAGTGTATAAAGCAACAAATACCAGCACTGCACACCCCCAACCAGCTACAAACTGTCACATGTTTCACCCGTAGGTTTATTCATAGAGGTTATTATTAACCTGTGTTATGCTTTATTGCATAACACTCAGGGGCATAACTGGAAATCGCAGGGCCCCATAGCAAAATTTTATATTGGCCCCCTTCCCAGCAAACTGCGCACGGGCTTGATGTGAATAGGCCCTTAGGCTCTGTTCACACATTAGAAGGTTTCCGCGCGTATTCGTATGTGCAGAAACATGCTAAACATAAAAAACAATACATTCCAATGTATCTAGTTCACACCTGCGCAACGTTCACGTAGTACGAAAACACTGGTCGCGCAAAAAAGTCCAAGCACGATAGTCTGCCGCAAACTATGGAATCTGCGCGTATGTTAATATTTGCGCGTTTTTATGCTGCGTGGAAAATGCAAACGTTATGTGTGAATGGTGCCTAACACTGCCACACCAATGAAAGCTGGGGAAATGGGAGGGAGGGTTATATTTTGTAACCCTACTTTCCCCAGCTTTACTGGGGTGGCAGTATTTTAAGTTATAAATACACTGCTACACTATAGAAGGATTACACTGTGCAATGTAACCCTCTTTCCAGAGTTTCTTTATTGTGGCAGTGTAAATATAACTTAAAATAACACTGCTACATCAGTGAAGCTGGGGAAAGTGGGGTAACAAATTATAACTCCCATTTCCCCAGCTTTCATTTGTTTTAGTGTAGAGATTACAACATTGCAGCCAACCAATAATCTGCCATTAACCATTTATTTGCCCCAGCCCACCATCCCCTTTAGAAAAGTGTACAAGTATCTTCCTGCTCCGTCTCCAGCTCTGTCTCCATCTCCTTTGGATTGGCTCGGCTACTGCCAAGCCAAAGAGTAGATCAATCCACCGCAGCACTTTTACACTGGCTGGCAGGAGGCAGAGGCACAGCAGTTCGCTAATACAGAGCGGTGCGTGACCATGGAACTAAGAAAAAGAAGTACCTCAGCCCTGCTCTTGACTGGGCCCCCCTTTGCCCCAGGCCCCACAGAGGCTGTGTGCATCACTATGGTGGTAGTTCTGCCACTGGTAACACTTCTTTTGTTCTGGATATGATTTGTTTGTAACAGTGATAAATAAGCTCTGGGCTGAATGATTTCAGCACAAAGCTTCCAATGCTAGAGGCCTAAAGAACGATACCATACTCTGAGATCAAACTAATAGTAAATCCCTTCCAAATTTAAAGGGGTTTAAAAGCCTCCGTTTTTTTTTTTTTGCCTATATCTACTGCTATCAAGCAGTAGATATAGGCAAAAAGTTTTTTTAAAAAACAACAACAGCGGTTTACACTTACCTTGTTTTCGCTGCGTGCTCCCGTCCGAGAAAACGAAACTGCTCCGGCGGCCGCAAAGCATCTTGGGGCGAGCGCATGCGCAGTTCGGATTCTTGGCCAGGAGACGAGCAGAGACGCAAGGTAAGTCTATTGACGCATGCACCCGCATGCAGACACCGCTGGATCGGAAGTGCCTGCAAGCAGAGAGGAGTCAGCGCTGGATCGGAGAGCCGCCGCACCGCTGGAGGGACAGATGAAAACATCAGGAAAGAAGAGGAAGATTAAAAGACATCATTTAAGGTAAGTGCTGACATTAACATTGGGGGGAGGGAAAAAAATTAGCCTTTAATGTCACTCTAAGCCCTAAAGTTAGCCTTTTCTTAACTCGTAGCTGTGTACATTAATTTCCTGCTCTGGGATCAAGGATTGCCAAAATTGCTGAGAAACTTTCCCAGCAGAACCGAAAAGAATGAAAGTCATGTCTAATGACCCAGCAACCCCAAAAAGTGATTGTTGTACCCAGCTGGTGCCCATCTGTACCAATCTAATTAAACAAAATATCTACAAATATTCATAAAAGAAATGACACATACCTGCCATGTAGTTTAGGTAGTTCCATCCTCCATAGGCATACAGCCCTTGATAAAAGGCCTCTGCAGTTTGTGCTGCATTTGGAACGTTTCCATTAAAAGCATCTTCAAAGGGTTTTGAAGCATATGGATTAGTTGCAAATTCGATGAAACCATAGACAATAATAAGAGCCAAGGCCATCATTTTGAGGACTGTGAATACATTCTGGACCCATGTGGCCAACTTGATACTCTTAGAATTTATGACTCCCAAAATGAGGAGAATTCCAATAGCTAAGGATTTCTTGAGAAGATCAGGTGGAGAACATCCGCCATAAAATGGACGACTCACATATTCGGCAAAGGTCAGGGCTCTGGCTGCATTGGATGATGGCCTTATAAACAGTGTTAAAGTCCAGATGGTGACAAAAGCTGGTATAGGTCCCAGTCCTCGTCTGACATGGTAATATTCTCCACCAGCAAACGGCAAAGATGAACCCAGCTCTGCATAACAAAGGGTGCACAATATGCACAACACACCACAAGCTGCCCAAATGCATAGTGTCACACCGATGTTGAGCTGTGAGTATTCCAGAACAGCTTTAGGAGAGACAAATATTCCAGCACCTATAATACTGCCCACTAGAAAGCTCACGCTATCAAAAAAGCCCAAACGTCTTTTCAAACAAACTTTTCCATCTGTTTCATTTGTGTTTTGCTCATGTGGTGGTGGCTCTGACTGCAGCATCTTGCTATTAGTCTTGCTAATAATGACAGAGGTGGCAAAGCAGTGACTGTTTAGTTAGGCACAGGTTTAAATGAGCACGTCTGCTTGTTCATTAAACAGGCTTCATAAAATGTATCACTCATTAAACATTATTACATGTTTTAATTAACCCAGGGACACATGTGTCCAGAGGACATAGGTACACAGGTTATTCCTCCTACAATCAAAGTTTACCTAAACCAACTGCATGTAAATGTATAGATGAATGACTGATTATGAGTGAACTTGCACCAAAGCATTAGAACAAGATATGAGTTGTAAAATAATCTAGTGATAATGATGGTCCTGATGAGAACAATAAACACATTGCTTGCAGTTCTCTACAGCATTCCCTATAATAAAATAAGTTACTTGCAGTGTTTCAAATAACTTTCTGACCTTTGTGATATGTATATGTTTCAGGAGAATAATTCTATATCAATGAGCTTCGTTTCATTAAAGGAAACCTGTACTGGGTGAAACTTGGAGGCTGCCTTTTCTAACCTGCTTCTGATAATACTAGTGACCTAGCTGTCCTTCAGCACTTGGGACAGATCTGAAACAAGCTTGCAGATCAGGAATACCAGAATGCCTAAGCTGCATACTTGTTGTAATTCAGGGACATAGAAATTACTGAAGTCAATGGATTAGCATGGCAGTGAATGTATATATTCAAAGGAGAGGTCAGCAATGGAATCTTCCAGCTTTCCTCACTAAAGGTTTTATATAGTAAAGAAAACTAATTTTCTTTATTCAAGCTTCATCTGTCTTGTTCCCTATTGACATGCTGAAAATTTGAGCTTGGCAAAATGGAACGCACACAAAGTTGGCAACTTTCCCTCATATAGAGAAGCAGACTAAGATCAGTCCCTGAGATTTTTTTTCTATACACTTTGATTTTGCACTTTCCCCTATAATGAAGAATGTGTGTTTGAAAACCTGTTTTCATGCCCATATAAAAGCCCAACTCTGGCACAATAATCTTATCCTATTTAAAGCAGATAAACATTCAATGGCCAGAAGAGCAATTTCCTATGATGAATGCCTTCTTCTATACCCGGCAAATCTTCTTGTTTACACGCCAGGCTCCAGCTTGTTTATAGCTCTTGCTGGACTTCTCGGCCACTCTGAATGTAAGCACAGGAGTTCTTATAGACCCAAGAGCTACAGTCCCAACTTCACCTTCCTCTACTTCAGTCCATTTACAAAACATGTTTTATTTTGACCAGGAGGATAGGGAGTTGGAGATGTGGCTGTAGCACTGGTGTCTATGAGATTGGTAGGACTTACATACAGAGCAGCCAGGAGGTACAGCTGAAGCTGTACTGCCCCCAACATGTACACAAGAAGATTTACATACCTCCCAACTATCTGAGATAGGAAGGAGAGACACATTACACCATGAAGTATGAAGGGAAAGGAAGTAATGAGTTCTCCAGCACACCAGGGTCCGCATTATAAATCCGTCCTTTATTGAAGTTAGATAAACATGATATCACAAGAGATCGCAGAATTTTAGAACGAGTGTGGTCCCTTCATCAGGCTAAACAATGTGACAACAGGTGTAATAAACACAGTGAATAAATACATCAGTGAGAATTCCGAAAACCAATTAGTGAGTGTTGCTCCCCTCCTTTTGATGTCAAATATGATGTCACCGGGAAAAGATCAGACTCATCCTAAAAATTTTCGCCCTATATCTCTTATAACAGATGAATTGTATTTCAAAAAAAAAAAATATGATGTCACATCTCCACCATTTAACTTTATCTTTAACGTGTGTAGGCAACTGACATTCCCTTGCTACACCTCCTGTAACACGAACAATGAGGATTCATGCACAGCAAATGTTTCATGTAATAAAAAAATTAAGCGTAATCCTTTTCATGACACCTTTATCTTCATAACTATATGACTTAACTGATATCAATCAATTCCAAACCACTTTTGGAGAGGTTATAGGTGTCATAGGCTTACCCGGACCGGAGCTCCATTTTCAAACACCGCTCTTATCTGCCGCAGCGGCTGGCTGTCACTGACACAGCTCCGCAGCGGCTTTGAGGGGAAATGCGCCGCGGCCGCTGCTGAGCTGTGTCAGCAACAGCTACCACCCTTACATGCCATAGCGACCCCATAGCGACCCTGGCCGGGCCCCCCTGTGCCCGGGCCCCAAAGCAGCCGCCTGGGTCGCTATGGCGATTGTTACGCCACTGCTCAGACCACCATAGCCGTAGAGAGTGGGGTTCAGACTGCCCTACAGAGACTCAGCTCCTGTCCATCCGCTGAGACTCACCTCTGCCATACCAGGAAACCAGTTAATCCTCTGGGACTTAATCCAAACCAGAAACGTAAGTACTAGGGGGTCTTCCCCTTCCTATTAGTAGCCACTTCTAACCATAGTCTGCTATATACTCTTGCTGAACTGTGTCAGTTAGTACAAGTTGTACGTGCTATATCAGAGCAATTGCGGCATTGCATATCTTACTCAGGCTGGAACCTTCTATCAGAAATATTACACTGTAACCTTCCGGAGTATCTTAGTTAATGCTTCAGGCTAGTTCACCATACTATTGTGTACGGAGGAGCGGGAAGCTGTTGTAAGCGTGCGCCTCTCTGTGACACGTTCAGGGAAACTACAAATTGCCCCACGCCTCCACTCTGAAGATAACCTGCTTAACATATCATCCAGTTAACCCTGGGACCCTCATTGGTCTATCTAGATAACACTTTTAGGACGGGTACACGATGTGGAACGGTTCCCCCTCGCACTGAGTGTATTGGGGTTCCGCCAGACTGACCGAACCCGTACTCCTTGAGTGGTTAGTTCCGCAGCTGAGATCCAGGAGTGTATTGAACCTGCTGGACTGTGACAAATTGATAGAACCCAAAAAAGAAATGGATCCAGCGGAACTTGACGGCCATGTCATGACACTCACTCAAAGAGTAGAGACTTTAACCACCAGAGTCACTGATTTACAGGATGAGAATCAGAGCTACCGCACTTACATTGTGGGCTATGTCCAGTGCCCTGCCTGCACTTTTACTGTTCTTGAGAACGTCCCTTTAGGTCAAAAGTAGTTTTAGACCAGGTAGAAAAACAGCGATAGTAAATTAGAATCACTTGCAGAATTTAGTGATAACGATTCGTTGGGAAATTCTTTATTAGACACTGAAAGTGACGACAGCGACGATTCTGCGACCGAGCTCAGTGATGTGCGAACTTGGTACTCTATTGACTGTGGTACGGATCAGGCAGCGCCCCCAGAATTCCCATTTGCTGGACCATTTTTTAAATTATTATATTAGCTTTTTTTATAATTATTTATTGTATTATAATTTCTTATCATTTCTTATCATTATTTATAATTATTTATTATATTATAATTAATGATTTCGTGTTTCCAACTTTATCATACCCGGGATGTCTACTGGACTCTTGTTTGGACAGATTTAGGTGAGTTATTCCTAACATTTACTAAGAATTACAGGCCTACAATATAAAACAACAAATTGCCATGAAAAACAATGTACCGCTTTGGCATGCTAAAATCCTGCATAATCAGACCGCCTGGGAGGTTAAGAGGAGTCAGATCTAGAGAACAATCCCCACTGTCAGTATCTCACCTGTTCTCAAGTCCCACAAGTCGTGTGATAATCAGTGAATCTGCTAAGGTTCAAATCACCAAGGGTTTGGGAAACTTGTTCACAATTTGATGCACCCAAACTTTAAGGTAAATCCCACTGAGGTTAGTAGGGGGGATCAAATCTTGTGGTTAAATTCTGCCCTGTAGGGCTAATAGGCAGACTATTATTTTAAAAAGTCATGGGAAGCTTGGCACTGCTATGGGTGACATGTACCAATGCAAAAAAAAAAAAAAATGCTTTACAGTGGAGAGAGGGTCTTTTCATGTGACTTCAAGGCAACATTGAAAAAACACAAATCCTTTAACCCTTTCTCTGTCAGGGTTTTTTTTTTTTTTGCACAAATGTTATAATCTTTACATATCTACATTATAGGCCTGGAAGTTACCTAAAAGAGTTATGTATTTACTGAAATCACAGACCCTGTAGAATAAAATGGCAGCAGTTGCAAATTTTTACTTTGCATGATATGAGGATTCAATGCACAGCAAATGTTTAAAAAAAAAAAATTTCTTTCATCACTACTTTTTCTTTATCTTGGCTCTTCAAAATAGCAAATGGAGTAATTTAAAGGGAACATAAAAACTATAGTACAGCAAAACACTTTGGATAGTTAACCACTTAAAGGCCATAGTGTTTCACCCCCTTCCTGGCCAGGCCATTTTTCAGTATTCAGTGCTGCGGTACTTTGACTGATGTTTATTCTGTCATGCAACACTTTACTGAAACGATTTTCATACCATTTTTTGGGGACATTTTTATAGAGATTGATATCTTCTTCCAGGTTTTAAGTCTTCGGTCACTTGATTGGCTGTACTCCGATGACATAAATCCTGTGCATGAGGAGTTACTTCGTCTGACATCCTTACTGAGCTCCACTGGCAGCAGCAAGGTCCCAATGGCAACGGGCAAGTTTAATACACACCCAGGTGACCCAAGGCCTCTCACCACTCAAATGCCAATTAGATATTTTTCTGGCAGCAATCAGACCCCCAAACACTGTCCCAATAAGCTGTTTTTTACTGCACTTTTTTCAGTAAGGCAGTGAGCATACATTTAATGCATGAGGGCTTTGTATAGCAAGTCTATAGCATAAGACAAACAAAACTTCAGATCATCTGAGTCACTAACTAAACCTATGTCAATTCCTAACAGGGTGCCCCCTAATGGGCTCCCCAAATAAACAGGCAGCACAAGTACCTTTTTAGCGTTCTGTCAGCAGTCAACCTTTTCACCCAGCAGCAGGCTCTGGAGAAAGAGAGAGAGAGAGCTCTGACACTCAGTCAGCTCAAATATAAAAAGTGCACTATATACTGATTGTAAATGGTAGTTCAAACACTTAGCACAGCAGCTTTTTTACTTATATTATTTA